TATCGCGGCATGCGCTGCCAGGCGAAATGAAAATCCATCCGTCTGCATTTTTCTCCTCCTCTGCTCCTTGCTTTTGTTTTTTTTTTTCCCCCCAGCAGAATGAGAAAGACACGCCTCCGCTCCTCCATCCCGACCGATGCTCTTCTGCATGTAGGAATTAAAGATCAATATCGCCAGAAGGCTCATATTTCTGCCCATCAGCTTCTGGTATCGATTGCCTACCTGAAGTCGCCATTTTCGTTTGAAGCCTTGAAAAATATCAGTTCCGTGTAAGTTGCAGGTCGATTCCCTGGTGAGATTTTCTGTTTTGGGTAGAGTCCAGAAAATGTCTTTAACTAGAGGATACAACCTGCCCATGCAGGCCATGTGCTGCATGACTCCATGCTCTTTGTTGTGACACATTGCTCCCAAGATCGTCGTCAGAATGACCTGCCGTGTCCCACAGTAGCCCTTCGGTTGGGTTGTTCCAGACGTGACAGCCTTTGTTCACATCTCGCATCGAGGAGTCTCAGCTGCCCACCACCCTGTCGGTGCTTCGTGGTTCTTCCCACCTCAGCCACCTCTCAGTAGGTCCTGACCACGGCTGACCGTGAGCTCCCCACTGATCTTCCCATATCAGAAATGCTCTGACGCAGTCGTCTAACCATAATTATTTGGCCTTTGTTAAAGTCACTCAGATGACTAACTTTTGGGCATCACAATACGCTTCTCATTAATATTTTAGGCACAGTTCTAATCCGCTTATCAAATTGTGGGTGTAAGTAAACACCCGTATCGTACCAAAAAGCCGGCATCTAAAGCCCTGTAATCATGTTGCATTTGCTGGCACTGATTCCTATCTGTTGACACAACTCGTGGCAGCACTACCAAGTTATTTGACACACTCTGTTGGTAGATAATAACAAGTTCCGTTTGGCCATAGTTTATTCCAGGTGAATTTCGTTTCCTCGTTTTATATACATAGCACAATGTTATGTGCAAATCTTTCAGATGATTGCTGTGTGATATTGTGCAGCCCTAATTCATTTCAGGTGCGGGAGGTCATAATGTTTTGGGTCATCAGTGTATATTTGCATGATAAATATCAGAATTATTTTCTGTCACTTGCTGCCCCCACTGAGTGTGTCTGGAGTCTGCAGGGCCTCCCTATAAAGTGGGGGCTTCCTACGAGGACTTTGGTTTCCTCCCACAGTCCAATCAGTTAAACTGATTGTTATCTCAGGATTGCAATTATATGCCCTGCGATGGACACGTATCCTATCTGCAGTGTCCCCTACCGTTCTGCATGCTAGGATATGTTCAGTACAAAGCATCCATAAAGCCTATAACCGACCATTATAATGCATTATAAAGGTATCTATCGTGCATTATGGATGAGAGCTTCATATTGCATTGTAATATGACATGGCTGTAATGTGTTATGCTTTTTGTAAATATTTATAGTGTTTTTATGCTTTACGGATGCATTATAATGCATTATGAATGTGTTTATAAATGACTAAAAATATGGCCTTAAATTAGGTGCTAGCAAACATTTTTGCCTTGACTTTCTTTCACCAGCCGTTTATCTTGGTCAGGGTTGCAGTTTTCCTGGATTATATCCCAGGCAGGATGGGGCAAAAGACTGGAGGACACCCTGGGCTGGATTCCAGGCCATCCCAGGGCACATACACACACACTCATACGCTGCAGGCGAGCTGGGGACAGTGATTAGCTGTGCCCCCCCCCACCGAGCCACCCCTGAGGCTTTGCATGGTGTTCCAAATTATACTCATTATTTTCAAAGACAAAGTGATGTGTGTGAGTGAAAATTTACCGTTACCAAAAATAGTAACATTAGTAGCTAGCACAGCCATTTGGTTTTTGCTCTACTTTGGTTGTCTTATAAAATGGAGTAATTCAGGGCTGATATTTTTAACAAGATGTATCACTAAAGTAATAATCATGCCATAAAAGCAGGGGAAGAAGAATGAATTCAGTGTGTGACTGCATAACCTGTCAGTATCCATCCATCCATCTTCAGTAATTGCTTGTCCAATACAGGGTCATGCTGAGCCTGGAGCATATCGGTGGAAGTATATGTAAGTTGATTGGGGTATACCCTAGACAGGATGTCAGTGTATCACAGGGCACCAGCACTCAGACACACAGTTACAGACTGGCCAGTTAAGACCCTAGTTCACCTACCTACATGTTTTTGGGCTGCATGAGGAGCTGGAGTGCCCAGAGGAAATCGACAAGGCGCAGGGAGAACTTGTAAACTGCGCACACAGAGTCACAAGGTGAATTTGAATGTTCCCAGCGCAGGGTTGTGGGATCACCGTGTTGCTCTCTCAGATAACCCGGCAGTAATCGAACTGAGTGTGACTTACTGCTGACATCGCACGCATCAGCCAAAGGCCAGCCGGACGCTCTAAAAGAACGATAGACCACATCCATCCTTTTCCCAGGCCTCTCTGAAAGGCTGCTTTTAGGCGTATATTAAATTTCTCTGATAATCATCTGGGACGATAACCTCCTCATCTTCATCTAGCCTCAACGGGCTCATTTGACCCATTGAAAATATTTAAAATACATCCTATCAGACAATGGCCAGTTCCTGCTTCTCCTGGTCATGTGATTGGCGGCCCTGAAGAGCCCAGTGGCTTCTGCATAAATACACATAGGTACCCAGTCCAGCCTCCAGCAGGAAGCAGGCCAGAATGGCAGCACAGGCCAGGGGCAAGGGACACTAATCACCTCCTTTATGGTTGCTGGCACCACGCCTGGCCTAGTGAGAGTCTAAATGAAGAAGCATCCTCATCGTCACTCACTTCCCTATCCCTCAGGGTTCACTGCTTGTAATAACAGTTAAGGTAACTGATTCCCAGAAGCAACAAGGCCTGTATTCAGATACTAACCATCACAAGGATGAGTAGGAAGAAATGAATAACGTAAATGTTGATTAAACGCCATGCTCGTTGTCTCTGCTGTCATCTTCTGTGCACGTATCAGTTCTCCTGTGGTGCTCATGAACTGTATGTTAGGCCACCAATCGAGAAGGACAACCCATACCCCCGCTGCCGTGCATCCCAGTGCTTGCTGGAGGTCACACTGACCATCGAGGTCAATGATGTGTGGCCTGATTGCGGCTCCTGGGCTCCTCTGCCCCTGGGGATCTCCAGACAGCCCCCACCGTGTGTGCGATGTGACGGAAGGAGGTTAGCGGTGGCCGCAGGGCCGAGAGCCCCTCCCCGGCCGTGCATCCCCCCCGCCCCCCACGCAGGCCGGCGGCTGCTGTCCTTCTGCTTGGCCTGTGCTCACACCCGCGGCTGACTTATGGGGTCAGACAGGGAGCTGGAGATTTGGGCTACAGCTGCCATTGAGGTCAAGCCACACATGCAGAAGGAGGGACATAGAGGGAGACAGGAGAGGTGTGTTCTGGCTTGTTACGTTTTTAGCGACTCTGAGCTAGAAAAAGCCGAGATATTCAAGGCATAAAAGACCAAAGAAACCAAAGAAATGCTGCTATCTTCCTCACCTCTAAACTAAATCAAAGTGATGAAGCATTTTGAGCCAATCATGTGCCAGAGTGCTGCTGATTGACAGCCGCGTGATGTCAAGAACCGCCCTTGCCATATGGGGCAAGAAATGCTGTTAGGCGTCACATAGCTGCTCCTCCCCAAGGAAAATGCTTTTCTGAGTGACTCCAAACCTACCAGTGAAACAGACAAAGCTTCTAGAGGAAACCCAGCCCACTGTGCAGCTCAGGTAATCCTCTTCCTCGCCATCAGCCACTTCGTCCACGGGCACCACTTGGTTACTCCAACAAAAGCAAGAAGAGGGGGGTGGTTTACTCAATATTGGCACCCAACCCTAAAACAAAAGTGCCCCCAATGCAGGTAGAGCACCCCCTTCTCATCCCCATCACGTCTCATAGCCCATGGAAACCACAGGGCACAAATCTGCAGTAACAATGAACAAGAGACGGGGGGGGGCAGGGATGGCGAGAAAATAAAGGTGGTAGAATAGTGCAGCCGGTCTGAAACCCCTTTGTCCCTGAGGCCCATACTCGGGCCGAGATGTTGCCCCAACAATTACATTTGATCTCTAATAATTTATTCTAATGAATTTGAGTCAGGAATCACGTCATTGGTTGACACCAGACCGCTGGAATATAGGCCCATCCATCTCATCTAGTGCAGGCTGGAATTTAGACCCCCGGTGTATGTGTGTGAGCACACAGATCCTATCGCGGGAGGGGCGTCTTTGTGGCCAGAGGTTTATGCGAGGATCAGGGCACCTGCATAGTGGCCCCGTTTCTAGCCATAATGAAGCAGAACAGCAGGGCATAGCCAACCAGCAGCCAGCGGAAGATAAGCAGTACACAATGGGCTTTTATGTGCCTCCAGGAGATTAAAGAGGGAATCGCGTGGTGGGCCTGCGTAGCCCTGGGGGCAGTCAGCTCACATCCTCCCTGGGGGGACGTTTGGCCCACTTATGTGTTTGAACAGTGCGGGTTTGCTCAGCTGAGTGTCTCAGCATCATTGCCATCGTGGGCTGCGTATTGCTCTGGGTCTATTTGTTGTTAAGAGGAAGGTTCTTATATCGGTGAGCAAAAAAAAAAAAAAAACATAAAGTCCTGCGACTTGACAGCGTTTGGCCTTTTTATCAATGTGAAGCAGATGAAGTGAAAGCATTTAAAGTATTTATAGGTTGGTGACGCTCCAGTTAGGACAGCAAGCGGATCCATATGCGCCTAATAGGACTCAGTGAGGATGTTGGGGGGGGTTTTGGGGTTTATTTGGTTTAATAAGCAAAGGAATCAGAACAAATAAATGTTTCAGTTTCAACAAAAATGAACGAGGTAGGAGAACCAGACAAGCATCCTTTCTACAGATGGGAAGAAATATGACTAATTTTTATCAATGGCAGTTAGGGACCAGTGACAACATGGGTATGACCCCACTTGGGATGGAATGTCCTTAGTCCTCATCAGTGTTTTCTTCATGCATCTGCAGGTACTCCAGCCCAAAGCAGCCCCCTGCTGGCCTCCCTCCCTGTCCCAGGGCGCCCAGTGCAGCCACAGCTGGATCTCAAGCACCTTCTGCCCTTCCGGCTCGACGGTTCCTCCCCGCTTAGCCTCTTTCCCAATTTCAACGCGGTAAGCTCCATCCAGCTCCATCCTGCTCCATCCAGCTCCATCCTGCTCCATCTAGCTCCATCCTGCTTCATCCAGCTCCATCCTGCTTCATCCAGCTCCATCCTGCTCCATCCAGCTCCATCCTGCTCCATCTAGCTCCATCCTGCTCCATCCAGCTCCATCTAGCTCCATCCAACTCCATCTAACTCCATCCCATTCAATCCCTCTCTCTCCAGTTCCATCCCACTCCACCCCACTCCATCCAATCAAACCATGTTCTTTCTAGCTCAATCCCGCTCCATCCAGCTCCATCCAACCCAATCTCATTCTATCCTGCTCCTTCCAGTTCTATCTAGCCCCATCCCACTGAAACCCGCCTCTTCCAGCTCCATCCAGAAAACTGCCCCCGGCTGGCTTCCGTTTCCATACCACTGGATCCAGTCTGCATTCAGCTGCATAATGAGTCTTGGACCATTTCCTATGGCCTTATCAGTTTAAATATCTTTCAATTAAAATATTTCTGGCACAGCTTCCTCTCGCTCACCGCCGCAAGCAGTTTTCCACTTCATTCTGTTTAATCCAGAAATAAACACACGTGTTTATTTTTGCTCTTTACAATCACATGCTGTACATTCTCCAGCACAGCAAACACTATTGGTTTGTCGTTAATTGTGAAAATGACACAAGAAATGTCAAAACAGTCAATGTGATAAGTCCCCCTTTTCCACAGAGCATGTACAGGACATGCCCAGGGTTGGCGGTATGGCCCGGCCTTATCCTCTTATAGCGCACACCTACACACCTGCCTTTGGTGATGCCTTCGTTATTCTGGCATAGTCTAAACATTCAGCGTCTTTAGTGTTTAACCTTTGAAACTGTTCTTCTAGTTGGTCACCTGCATTAACTAAATGACTCATTTAAACCAACATGTGAAGCCAGGGTCATTGTCAGTATTTTGTGTCTGTCAGCGTTGTAGCATTAATGCACCTTTCCCCGGATAAGTTACCATCAAAAGTGCAAATGTAAAACCTACCTCCGAAACTAACATTGAAGAAACAAGGTTCTTCTTTTATACTTTTGGCCATTTTTTGGAGGCTCTTCTTCATATCTGCCCTTGATCCACCTATCAGTTCACTTTCACAAAGCCAGTACAAGAAAGAAAAAAACCTAAAAAATATGTGAGGAATTTGATCGGAGCGATTTTGAAACTCGATTCACGTATCAGAACAATTTAGTGCGGATTTTAGGGTTGAGGGGTCCTGCGGGCGGACAAAAGTCTCGTTCTGCGAGCTGCTTTGAAAGGGCCAGTGTCCGGACGCAGCCAGCCAAGGTAGGCGCTCGCAGTCACTCAGCAGCCTCTTCTGCTGCCTCTCCACGTCGGGCGCCGTAAACCGCCACGCCACTCCCAGGACCGCTCCGGTGCATCTAGCCTGTCAGCTGTGCCTGCAGGTCCCACGGGGGCACGTCCAGGCTGGCTGCCTCCTGTCCTGTCGCCCTCCGCCGGCCCTGGCGTGGCGTCCTCCCAGGCGAACTGCATTAACGAAATGAGAATTCAAGGACAACTGGTTCACCAGTTAATGAATCGCTTTCGGCAGGCCGGGGTGGCAGGGAACGGGAAGAGGCTCAAGGGCTTTACTGTGATGCTGTGTGTCTGCAGGAGGGAGGGGGAGTAACATTGCCCTTTAGTCAGTCTACAGTCACATTTTAATTAATTTACAAACAACTTGCTGCATTTTGGTTTCTGGTTATTTCTATAGGGATTGAAGGAGACAGAAAACCAGAAAAACTGGACCCCTCGAGGGAGGGCAGTTGTGAAGGGCTCCCGGATTATGTAGGGTTACGTACATATAAATAAATACGTAAATATGTAGAAGTGGAATCCATGTGTATAAAATGAAAAGGTCAGGCGAGGACTTTAATGATAAAGACGAGATGTTGTTCTCAGGAGAAGTCTATCTCGTGAAGGAGTGTCTCTCGGGGGCCTCTGGTGGCTTTTAAAGCGTGAAAGAGTGTCACATGAAGGCGGGAGTCTTTCAAGAGGCTCCGTCTCCAAATCAGCCATTTAGCTGCAAGGCAGGGGTGAAACAAGGGGCTTCAAATTTGAATAATTGCAGCCCTGTTGCCTGCAATTAAAATCCTCAGCGGCCCACTCTGACACACAGAGGCAGGTCCGCTCTTCAGCTCATGGAGCCCTCACCTTCCTCCCCCGCTCCAGCCCCCCACCCCGGTGGTGTTGATTAGCAGGCGGCTCAGGTGGGCCTCACGTGGCACGTTAGCAGGCAAAGCGGGGTACACACACATGTGCCATTAATCATCCCGCCTGGCCCCTGATCCCCCCCCACGTTCCGCCGGACTCCCGGTCTGATAATGGCCGCCTTGTTCCCCGCTTGTACCGCTAAGACGAATGCACCTGTCTCTGTAACTAAATAGCTTCCACCAACATCCCCCACCTTTCTTTACTGCCATCCACTGAAAACTCTTATCGCATGTCTCTGATGCAGCAGCTACCGGATAATTCCCTCTGTAGGAAAAAAAAATCAAGCACTTCAGGACAATGGACATGTTTATACTGGCACGACTGGGATGACTGGAGCTGAACAAAGGGCACATTCTTGGAACTCCCAAAACAAACACTTAGCAGTTAGCCAGCCCCCACCCCGAAAGAGACCTAGAGGGCATGTCTGAGTAGTTTAGCTTCTGTGGCAGGGATTGTGTCCACGGGGACAGGTGGGTCTGCCCAATCCCCCAGGCTTTGAAGGCCTAACAGGCCTCTTTGTCCCCGACTTCGAAGGAAATAGCAGCAATGTGACATCGCAGGTCCCCTGGGGTCTGCTAGTCGCCGCCCTGCCTCACATCTTAATTGCTTTGCCGAAGTAATTATCTGGACACTAAGTCCCTTAATCTGCTGTTTCAGCTGTCAGTCTGCCGCTAATTAAAATGTGTTCTCTGAAAACATGTTTTCACAATCTGTGACTAGGACACTAAAGCAAGGAGAGTGAGTACATGAATTAGCCAGTCGATTTCACTGAAGCCCCGTGTAAAGCATGAAAAATTCATGTGGCTGCTCATTCAGGTTGTGCCTCAGACTTCAGGTATGAAATATGTACAAATCAGCCATCTGACATTGACTTTGTCATCTACAGTATATGGAGGTTATAAGCAAGATACAGATTTAAGCTCCTAAGTGACCTTAGAGTGGCTAATAAAACTCCCTGTATTCTTGTCATAGAAGACGCAGTGTTCTGTGATTCTTTGATTTATTGCGGTTTTCCTTACAGCGATGGTGTATTAGAGCAGCCAGTCAGTGTGCAGGCAGAGCACTCAGAGTACGGCCTGCATGGAGTCAGTCTGGGACACGGCTTGAAGCCCCGCTGTTAACATCACAGGACTGAGAAAACCAAGATTGTCCTTTCCTTCACTAAAGTGGTCGCTCAGTATAGACACTGAAAATGCCAGCAGATGTTTGGCCTTGAGGGGTTTCTTCACTTCTCTACCAACAGATCAAAACCGTGTAGTTCTGTGCTTTTCAAATCCGCTTCTTAAGCCCTGATACAACACATGACATAGAACTGTTAACCGGGGCAAATCTACCATATCAGCTGAATGGGTAACATTATTCAGCATAACCTCTTCAGTAAGGCATCGTTAGGGGGGAAAATGGGGCTGTACTCCTTTAATCCATGTTTAAAAAGGCAGTGAACAATAAAAGAAACAGGTGAAAGGGCAACATTTTACAATTCAAACAGAGTGATGAGCGTGACTGTGATCCCAGGAGGAATTATGGAATCATTTTCAGTTCAGTACGCACAATGAAACAAATGGACATTTCTTGACACAGGTGGAACCTAAATTCACAAATTAGACGTTCTACATGGAAAGCATTATGCTACATTATGCTAATAGTGGCTGTGAATTTGTTATGGCTAATCCTGGTTACAGTCAGTCACAATCAGGTGACATTTTGGTTTCCCAATAAATTACACTAACACTGGAGAGAGCAGTAGATAAGATCAAGACTCTCTGTCGGTTCTGTTATACCAAACTCAGATATGTTGCTGGAATTCATGTCATTCAAATTCAAAGACATAACAAGTGGATATTGCTTCCAGGAAAAAATGCTTTTATCTCTTGTCACATGTTACTGCAAAAATCACCTTAAGTAAAAAAAAATCACCTTCTGTTTGTATCCCTTGAAATCCATTATGAACCACTATGGATACCAAAAATAAAGAACATAATCTACAATTGAGGATTAAAAGCATGTGAAATTCTATTCATAAATGATTTCTGGAAAACCGTTGAGAGGCACAGCTCAGACCGAAGCCTACACGTGCTGAAAGGAGAAGGTCAGCACGCAATGCCTGTGCTTCTGTTTTCGACAGATGGATCCAGTCCAAAAGGCCGTGATCAACCACACCTTCGGCGCCCCCCACCCCCTCAAAAAGAAGCAGATCATCTCTTGCAACATTTGCCACCTTCGCTTCAATTCTACGGTCAGTGTGACGACCCGGGACCCCAACCCCTGTGTCCCTGCCGGCCATTACTGTCTCTCTGTGCCTGTTTTCTCCTTCCTCTTTTCACTTAGATTGCAGGTTCACATTTTATTGTTTTCTGCTCTAGTGATGTCTTTTTATCTCCTATCAGACAGCTGATGACAATTCCATAATACGTATGGCATTACATATTAAAAAATGACCTTAGCGTCCTGCAATCCCTGAGCGATCTTGCGTTACCCTTTTCTTTCAGAATAAATAATGCACACAGCATTGCACAGATTTTAAAAATCGGCGGCGTGCTAATGTGCGGCTGGCTTAAAGAAAATGAGGGCTTCTCATACCTTAGCAGTGGAACCTTCTTCTGAAATGTTGCAGGAGAATGAGGCCTGCTTACAGACGTATTGAGACTATGGTAGGGCTACGTGTTTGTGGATGCATGTCCCCCCTCCCCCCTCCACAGGGGACAGTTTTCGTGTCCATTTACATGTGAATAAGTTTGATGTGCTTCTATGGAGGATTAGGTGGCGGAGAGAGAGACCACTTATCAGCCAGCAGCAGGAGTAATTGTCATCACGGGAAGGTGTTTATTTTCTGTGTTTCCATTCAGATTTTTTTGGTTTAAAGATGCACTTACAGTATACGTGCACACAGACAGACACTCACACACACACACGCAACCAGCTAAAAGGCAACCAGCACCAGGTCAGGAAGTGAAGGGTGTGCAGGAAGTTGAACAGCGTCAGCAGGATCATGATGTGTCCCCAGTCCGGGGGGGGGGGGGGGCCCCCTTTCTCTGCTTGTGTGCTGACATTATTTGTAGAGGGGGGAGTCAGGGATGATCACCCAGAGGCAGAACAGCTAACAGACATTTGAGGAGTGATTAAAACCCCCAGTGTTAGTTTTATTTAACATCTCTGTTTGATGAGTACATATCATCCCTTTCTCTCATCTCTCATCATTTTGTTCCTTTTTTATTATTGGACAGAGCAGCTAAATGACTGTGCCGTGATTGGCTGCTCGTTTCTAAGCTGTCACAGTCTCTGCGGGTGGATGTTTCCTCTCTTATAGTGCCCTACGGGTCTTACTATGGCTCTTGACAACTAAGCTGCCGGTTGGTGGCCAGTTTAGCATAGCTTCACGCTAAAGGCGCTCCTGTTGACACACATACATTCACTCGGGAAGACACAAATCTCAGATCACGTTGTGAAGACGGAAAGACAACTTATTCCTTTAACAGATCTTCCAAAATGCAGACTTACATTATGCTAATCCTGTTTTCATGCAAGTTCACTAACGCGTTTCTGCGATTTGTGCGGAAGTTCTTTTGAACCTTTTCCTCCGGTTTCCGTATCACTATCACACTCTCTCCTGACATCTGCATCCAAGCCCAGCAAAAGGCCTATGTGTAACGCCACCCAATTCTATGCCTCTGATTTTGTTTGTTTGTGCCATAAATCATTGTATTTCCATTCGTTCTCTACATTGCAGCGGCATCTTGTCAGTGAAGCGTTATGGGAGACTGCCTGCTTCCCCGATCCGATCCTCCCCACCGTGAAAAATACAACTATTGTCCACAATTTGCATTATCTAGGCCAAATTACGTTTTCAGTTTGAAGCAGGTATGTGGGGGAAGTAGGTGATACAGCTTGAGCTCCACTTACTGCACATATTCCCGGCGTCTGCAGGATAATCACACCCGGCAGCCAGCCTCGTTCCCACAATGCAGCCCCCAGGTTCCCCCAAAACTAATTAGCAATCAGCGCCAATCACTCTGCGGTCATCGTTTTGTGTCCCTTTCATATTTCTATTAGACCGCCTTTCAGGCGAAAGCCTTATTGCAGTTGCCTTTCTCGCTTTTTCTATTTTGTCTTCACAAATTCAATTCATTTTGGCTTGATTTGTACCGCAAGTTATTTTATTACTTATTTGCATTTATATGGCAGAGATCGAAATTTACAGAATTCTAATAAGGCTTGCCTTTGAAGGTGGCCAGACTGTCATTTTTATCAGTAGTAAGCTGAGAGGCTCTCTCTCTCTCTCTCTCTCCCCCCTCACACCTTCCAAATTGCTCTCAGTCTGATTCCATGCATGTTTAAACACCATAGTCATGCACGTCCTGCTCCTGCCAACCTGCTCCTGTGGAATATGCATGAACATATGCAGGAGCTGCGCGGCGGCGTGCCATGCTGCTACAGCTGCGTACAGCGATGTGCATGACGACTGCACCACCTGTGTTCACCATAGTGACTTAATGTGAGTTAAATTATACCCCAACAATAAAATCACGCTGAACTGCATCACAAGCGGACCGCTGTTGGCACGCAATCCCTGTACCTCCCCCCACCGTTTGATTTGGCTGCCTTTTTAGTTGATTGTCGGCAGATTCCCTATTAATCAGATTGTGTTAGGCCACATTAATTAGATGGATTAGTCCCCAGTGCCCGTCACAGAGGCCCAATCAGATGCCGGCCTGGGCATTCCGAGGATGTCACAGAGGCCCAATCAGATGCCGGCCTGGGCATTCTGAGGATGTCACAGAGGCCCAATCAGATGCCGGCCTGGGCATTCCGAGGATGTCACAGAGGCCCAATCAGATGCCGGCCTGGGCATTCCGAGGATGTCACAGAGGCCCAATCAGATGCCAGCCTGGGCATTCCGAGGATGTCATGTGACATATGAATGCTTGCCACCTCTCACTCCTGCTGTATTTAACATGTGCTTTAGTTATTTCAGTTATTCAAACTAGCAGGGATTTTACCGGTAATGAGTTTTGTTTTTCTTATTAGAACATCAAATTACTCGTGCCTTTGCAGGCAGAAATGTAGCTTCGTTATTGCTGTCATATTCTGCATATGGATGGTGTTTCCGCGCCGGGCTCGCTGCGGGGCGTTCCCGTCAGCACGCCCAGGGCACGGCCTTTTGTCTTGTCGGCGAAATCTAATGACGTGGAAATGCCTGCACCTCTTCTGCTTCCTGTGTGATAAAGAAATAAAACCGAAAGCACCTGAACTTGGGATTCGGTGGCTGGAATTGAAGGAACGAGTATCGCAACAACACCGTCAGCGTCTCGGTGGAAAGGGCCCGTGGAGGCAAAGCAGTTAGCTAGATAACGTCGGGCCCCACGCCACTGAACTGTCCAGTTTGCTGCCATGCGCAGGTAGACGTCCACCCTCCCATCGCCGCTGCAGTTTCTCCACATGGTTTGTCTTGCGTTGCTGCTCTTCCCGGCCCAGGCCAGTCGGCTGTGTGATCTGTATGAGGCTGCCCGATGTCCGCCTGGTGCTGTTTCTCCTCTTGGAGGTCATTAACGTGTTCTCTTCCCTTTCCATGTACCCACAGCGAAGCTGGCGGCCCTGGGGGAGCGGACGAGGGGGTACGCGGGGCCCCCTGTGAGGTTACCCTCATGGGGCGGGTGGGTGAGTGCGACTCACGGGGGGTGTAAGCGACGGCTGGTGTTTTCGGGGAGGGGGGTTATCAGCGATCAGTACACTGCTGAATGGTTATCGCTCGCTATCATTCAGAGCCTCTGCTTCATCCCCTCCCAAGTCCCTGGTAACAGCATGGCTCTCACTTTGAGCCTGGGTGGAGGGGGGGAGGGCTAGGTGCTTGAGAGAGCCCTCACCCTTGTACTGCCCCCTTCTGGTCATCCCTCCTGGGGTGTGACTGACTGTATGGCGGGGAACTGAAATGGCTGGTGGCGTGATTCGAGTCACATGTGACTCGTCTGCCATTTTCAGTTAATATACACACATTCCCTAATGTCTGGTCCTTATAACACATCACCCTCCCCTCTGAACAGCCTCGCAGCTCTGAGGCTGGGGCAACACTGAGCGAATAGATGCAGCTGAAATCCTTGTCCCTGGCTCCCGCCTTTCCTGGCCGGCGAGCACGGGACTTTGCGTGCCTGTGTCCTCGGCTCGCTCCGAGAGCCAAGATCTTTTGTGTCTGTTAATGAGGCTCTTATCTGCAGTGGCCTGCAATGACAGAGCGTGTCCGTCACCACGCAGATCAGAAAGTCAGGCTTGTTTTAGCAGCACCTGCTAATTACAGACCTGAATAACGCATTATGTATATCACATACTGACCTCTCAAGGAGCTCTTTCCTGCTTGTATCTGATTATTATATTTCATTCATTTACTTCCTAGATCGGCCCTTTGTTGAGTCTGTGCCCTGATTAGTTTTGTGTGTCAAGTTGCCTAAAGGGACTTTATGCCTTTGATCTTTTAGAGAAGGTCAGAGTTGTTTGTGTGTGTAGGGGGGGGGGGGGGGTTAGGTTTGCATAGATCACATTTGAGGACCAAATTGTCCCCAAAGTGTAGTAAAACCTGATATCTCCCTACTTTTGGGGACATCTTTTGAGGTCCCCATTTGGATAACCTCAGTTTTATAAAAAAATCAGTGAATGCAATCAAAAAAGTAAAAATGCCAAAAGTTGGTTGGTTACTTATGGTTAAGGTTAGGGATGGGTAGGGGTTAAGGGTTTCGTGATTGGGATGAGGGTTTATCCCATATGAATGAATGGACGGTCCTCATTTAGATAGGAAGACCAACTGTGTGTGTGTCAGTTTGTCTGTGTGTCTGTGGGCCTGATTTAACCATGGATATCAGCCTGGAAGACTTTTATTGAGCCTTTGAGCAGCTCAATGACCAGCATCATCTTTTTGTGGAAAAGTCTGGCTCTTGCTGTGCATTCTGTTTATGTTCTGGGCACTTCAGCATCAGCCAAGAACCGGTCTCAGTGCTGGGCCGACCTCCTGAGCAGCTTGTGTTTTCTCATGTGTCTTCAGACTTTAGCTTTATTAACATATTAATTATGTTTCTTTCTGTTGGCCCTCAACTTGTTATTCCTGTTATTCTTGGTCATTTCTTTGCATGGATTACATGCAGAGGTTCATGCCTGCCTCATGCTCTCTGAGTCTGGCTATCGTGTGTGGAAAAGCTTCTCTCCAAGAAGAAACATTAGCTTCTTGTTCTTTAGCTTCTGCACTTCATATTATGCCTTTTTTGTTATTTATTGTGCCGACCGAAGTGACATACATGTGCAAACCAGCCCAGCGAGAGAAGTCCTCCTGCATCTATTGCTCAAATACGAGGGTGTGATTTATTTTTTGGTCCCCTTGATCTCATGATCTCTTACCATGCCAAAAAAAATCATGTCTCGCCGTGTGTTCTGCTCTGCCATGGCCCTCCGAGGTCCCGCTGACCATTGCCCATAAGCCGGGGAGTTTTACTCTGAAATCCTGCAGCGGGACAGTTTGTGGCTGGGCACTGCATACCACTCAGCTCGCTGGTGGGGGCCGACATCCTGCCCCCTCTGTCCCAGAAGACCAGGGTGCGTGATACCGTACACGCCAAAGTGCGCCCCCCCACACCCCATCTCCGTCGGTGTCCGTCTGCATGATCCGTACCGCCAATAACACTCAAGCATGGTGCGACCCACTGGTGCACAGACCTACGTCTGGGGAGCCCCTGTCCAGGTCTGGCCACATGTCACCTTGGAGGTCCATGTTTCGGGAGGTGTGACATTCATCACTGATAGCTGATAATTAAGGCAAACCCTGTGTAACAGCAGAGACTGTGGGTGACACACAGAAAGGTTCTCAGAATGGGACCCGCTTAGGGTTGCGCTTGGATTATGCTGGACCAGGCAGCAGTGTTCATACGCCAAAGGGTCCTGAATCCTCTTCATAGTCCATTCTCAGCTATCAGATTCGCCAAAGACCTTCCTTGGAAGAAGGGGACTCAGACCTTGCATGTCATCCCTGGGAACTGCTTAATAGAGCATTGAAACACCCCTGAATACAGTAATGACTCCGTAAAGGCCAGCGTGAGACTCCAGCAGCTTCCTTTGTCTTGCTTCCCTCTTGCTCTGAATGACCGCTGGGTCCTTTTTGTGTTTCCAATGTCTATTTGAGTTACATCGATGAAGGTCTTTGTCCTCCATTTACATGAGGTAAATGAGATTATTCCTTCGGACATGGTCTGGGTTGTACTGTATTTACTCTCTTAGACTGACCAGTGGTGGGGGAGACCTGGGTCAGGTGACTGCATCCTCATGTGGCAGTGAGCATGTAATGTACACCCCGTCTCTCTCTCTCTCTCTCTCTCTCTCTCTCTCGCCCTATCTCCATGTCTCTCTTGCAGAACCAAGCAGAGGCTCACTACAAGGGCCATAAACACGCCCGCAAGCTTAAGGCCCTGGAGGCCCAGAAGAATAGGCAGCGGAGCCCTGGACCCCCGCTGGGGAGGGAAGGCAGAGAGAAGGCGGGGCCGATGGAGGGAATGGGTGAGTGACAGGGGCAAGCCACACCCACGATGTGGAAGAAAAAGGATAGGTGGGGTGCATTATGGGATTGTTCTTGTGTCTTTGGCCTTAGGAAGGAAGATGCGGTTGCATTATGGGATTGTTGTCTTTTAGGCCAGCGGATACTGTTTATTCCGAATGAGTTGGACCACACCAGCTCATTCACACTCCCTTTTTACCATCTCATCTCTTTCTGCCACTCCCCTTCGATTTACTGCTGTGAATCCTACCTGGGCCTCCCTCTGTCTATTTTCCTTCATTTTCCCAGAGTCTCTCCTCTCATTTTCCCATCCTGTTCTTAAATTACTTGAATCATCCTGCCTCTTGCCATCTTCTTCCCACCTTTCACGCTTCCCTCACCTTCCCGATCGAATGGTGAGCAATGACGAATGGTGAGCGGTTTTAAAAAGGGCTCTAAACAGTGTGAGACCTCCCGCACCGTGGGTAGCCGTGATCCTCCTCGGTCCACCGGGTGGCGATGGGGGTTGGCGCGCGGGGAGCAGGAGCTGATTAAAGGCACCGCAAACAGCTTGGTGGTGGTGGGAGGGGCAGGGAGCAGAGATGCGGGTGACTCCTTTAACGAGCACATCAGAACATCGAAGCCGTGCAGCGGTGCGGTTACAGACCTCCTCATCCATCACAATCCCACCGTTATCCGAGGAGAACAGACACAGCACTGCTGGGGATCTCCAGCAGAACTGCTGTAGCAAAGGAGTCCATTCATCCATCCGCCCATCCATCCTGAAATTACTTATCTGGTACAGAGATGCAGAGAGTCTGGAGTCTGTCCAATGCAGCATATATTTGCGGGAAGCTTGGGGTCAGAGAGCAGGCTCAGCCAGTATCCTGCTCCCCAGCAGCAAATGGTATTGAGGGCCAGTTGATCAAGGGCCCAAACGTGATATGTTTTCGCATTGGGCATGGGGTTTGAACACACCACCTTCCGGACACATGAAAACAGATCCCAAATCTGCTAAGCTACACAACGTGAATGGAGCAGGAATGGGGATAAAAAAGGACTCGAGTCTAACAGGAAGACCCATCAGCCGGTGACTGTCCTGGGTCCCTCTGATGACAAGCAGACACAGTCCCCACAAATACAGCTGCCTTTGATCAGCTCCACTTCTCCATCTGCCCCCTCTGACACACGGAAGAATCAATCCCAGTTTGGAATTTTGATCCTGTGCATATTTACTGGGAGAAAACAGCACATAGCACATGTGACTGGAGCGGCACCTTCACCTTTTTAACTCATCGGGAGTGATGCTTTTCCTACGTGCTGATTGTCTTTTCTCATCATGCTGAAACTGGCTTTTGTGTATAAATCTGTACACAATGTGCAGCAAAGTCATTATTTCGTTAGGTCATTACTAGCAGCTCCAGAATGGATGTTTGCATAGCTCAGCTACGTCTTAGACTCTTCAAATTACAGGTCTTTACTGGCTCATTCGTACATCTAACCATTTGTCCTAGTTGGAGTCGTGGGTGTTTCAAGCAAACACAGTTAATTCATAAAAGAAAAATCATATCCTTGGAAATCAAGAATCCTCTCACTCAGTACGTTTACACACACACTAAGAAAATTGAATTATTGTGTTAGTCCGACTAAAACCGGACTTTTGCAGTACACGTAAACATATCAGTCCGACTGAAATCGTACTAAATCAAATTTCTGTAAGTCAGACTAAGAAACCGAGATAATGTGAATGGGAGTCGATTTACTCCCGTATTACACATTCAATCAGATTCAAACTTGCCTAGGTGCTCTGCACATGCCCTACAGTTTCCCCTCGGCCTTTATGCCGAAGTAACATGCACAGCAGAGGATGTACAGCACTTACGAAATGTACAGCGCTATAAAGCTGTCCAATATACAGCTCAACTAAGGGGTGCTTTTCCACCGCACCAGGTACTGTACTTTTGGTACTTCAAGTGTGGAAGTAAAATTGGACATTGATAGGCCCAGGAGGGGAGGCATATTGGGTCTGTTATGTCTTAGGCAAGAAGAGATCTCAGAGTGGTTGATTTATAATATTTCTACCACACAAGAAGGTACCAAAAATATGGTACTTCAAGGTGTCGGTTTTCCACTGGTGTAAAAGCTGGTACCGGTGCCGAATGACATCGCAACGCAAGGAGGGATATTTTGTACTGAATTCTAAAAATGGCTGTAGTAGGACTGGATGACATGGTAAAATATACATCAATATACATATAAATATACAAATATACAAATTGGTAAACATTTTTGCTCTGTCACAGGAAAAAGAACCTAACAAGTTTTGCAATTTTAATGATTATTCATTTTCAAGATTGTCTAGTATATTTTTTAAAATCAGTTTAAAGTTTACCTTCGGTGCTTTTGCATTTGTGCTGCATGTGTTCTCCGAGACAATCAAAATCATTTTCATCCTTGCTGTTTAAATCACTCCTAGACAAATTTGTGAGAAATTTATTTTGAACTCCTTTTGTTTGTTTCGTAAATACTCCAATATCTATTACAACAAAATCACATTGCAATATTTAAAAAATATCCAGTACTGTGCTGTCATACTGTATTATACAAACACTTTATTTCATGTTATGCTATCCTGCTCTTGTTGTATCTGTTCTTCTGACCAGATCACAATTAAAGCTTGTATCACTTTATTTGTCCACGAACCCATTATCACAATTTTTTTTTTTTTTTTACGTCTGTAACATAATAGGTGAACTGGAAAATGAAAGGAGCCATATCGCCACTTATTGCAGCAGAGTCGGACATACTTCGCTCAATAAATCAATTCCCCTCCCATGCATGTATACTGGGACAAGGACAGTAGTCCGATTAAATGGCGTAGTCAAGCTTTAACCTTAGCTCGACATAGCTATGCAAGCGTACTGAATGTGACTGTTTTAGTCCAGACATACATGTGAATATTTCAGCTTGATGTATATGTAATTTAATCATGGGGTTTGATTATGAAAATAAGCCTCCCGGCAGATGTCTAGCTGCTATTATGGTTTCTCCAGCCACCCAGAAAACCCCAAATGTGGCAGCTTGTTCCCCAAATCGTCCGTCCCTCTGTTTCTCAGGTCACTATGGTTCCACTTCAGGTGGTTCCTCTGTACCTGTGCATTGACATGAGCAGAAACTGGGCCCAACCCCCGGCAGAGGGGCTTGGCAGGCGGGGAGGCAGAGACTCACTTCCCTCACTATAGCAGCATCAACACACTTGCCATATAATTTCATTGCTCATTCTTTACACACACAAGAGTAATCGGACCTTTATCTTCATTCCTAATGGGTTTCCAAATAAATCAATTGTCTGCGGTCTGTTTTGGGGGCCCAGTGGGATCATCTCCTCTGAATGAAATGGAGTGTGAGCATGTGGGAGCCGATGTGTGTGTGGTCATTCTGCGGGGGGGTGAGGGGGTGTGGTGATGAAACTGCCAGAGCTTATCTGCTGAGCCGCAGTCTGCGTGTCCTGGTCTTAATAACTGGCCTGCGACAGATTTTTGTCTCTGTCTGCACCGTTTCATGTTGTGATGGGAAATTTAAAGTGTGAATGGGCAGAAGGTTGATATGCAAAGCATGAGCATGTGAATATAAACACTGTCTCACGTCACAGACAGCCGGACTATACTGTATGTCCTCTATAAGCAGCACAGGTGGCTGGGGACAGGGGTGTGCCATCTAGAAATGAATAATGTGTCTGTGAGTGTATGTGTCTGTGAGTGTATGTGTCTGTGAGTGTGTGCTCGCCTCCAATGGACTGGCATCCCATTCTGTGGGCTCACAGTGACCCTGTACTGAACGAATGGGGGGGGGGTGTACACTCATTGGCCACTTTATTAGGTACACCGGTTCTGCTGCTCGTTGAAGCAAATATCTAATCAGCCAATCATATGTGGAGCAAAATGCATAAACTCAGCAAAATGTATAAAATCATGCAGATACAAGTCAGGAGCTTCTGTTAATGTTCACATCAAATACCAGAATAGGGGAAGGAAAGTGATTTAAGTGACTTTGAATATGGCATGGATGTTGGTGCCAGGTGGGTTGCTATAAGTGCTTCCGAAACTGCTGATTTATTGGGATTTTCAGGCACAACCATCTGCAGGGTTTACAGATAATGGGCCGAATAAGAAAAAACACCCAGTGAGCGACGGTTCTCTGGGGGAAAATGCCTTGTTGATGACAGGAGATCTGAGAAGAATGGCCAGACTGGTTCAGGCTGATAGAAAGGCAACAGTAACTCAAATAACCAACTATTACAACCAAGGTACGCAGAAGAGCATCTGGGCTACAGCAGCAGAAGACCAGACCAGGTGCCGCTGCTGACAGCTAAGGACACGGAGCTGAGCTACAGTGGACACAGCCTCACTAAAAATGGACAATAGAGGATTGGAAAAATGTTGCCTGGTCAGATGAGTCTTGATTTCTACTGTGACATTCAGAAGATTTGGTCAGAATTTGGTGCAAACAATATGAAAGCATGGATACATCCTGTCTTGTATCGGCAATTCACTCTGGTATTGGTGTGGAGGACATTTTCTTCCCACACTTTGGACCCCTTAGTACCAGTGGGTCATTGTTTAAATGTCTAGGACAGTAATACTTTATTAATCCCTGCAGGGACATTTCCTTTCTGCTTTGCCCCGTCTTGTGCTCCATACAGGTGTGAGAAAGCTTGATGGCCGGACCAAGGGGGCAGCCACCTTGTGGTGCCCAGGGGGGTGTGTGGGGTTGGGGGCCTTGCTCATAGGCCCACAGACATGTCACTCCTCTGCTGAGGCCAGGCATGAACTAGTGATCTTCTGATCACAGGTACAGAGGCTTAATCTCTTGAGGCACCAACCCCCCAATCCCACAGCCTACCTGAGTATTGTTGCTGACCATGTCCATCCCTTTATGACCACAGTGTACCCAGCTTCTAATAGCTACTTCTAGCAGGATAATGCGCCATGTCACAAAGCTCATATGATCTTAGATAGGTTTTTTGAACATGGCAATGAGTTCACCGTACTAAAAATGGCCTCTACGGTTACCAGATCAATAGAGCACCAGTGGAATGTTGTGGAATGGGAAATTCGCATCATGAAGGTGCAGCCAACAGATCTACAGCAACTGCGTGATGCTGTCATGTTAACATGGACCAAAATCTATGAGGAATGTTTCAGGCACCATGCTGAATCTATGCCACGAGCAATTAAGGTAGTTCTGAAGGCAAACAGGGGCCAACCGGGTATTAGCAAGGTGTACCTAACAAAGTGGCCAGTGAGAGTATATCTATATTAGGGATGTAGAGATACCATGTTAATGTCCTTGTACTTGCCCTCGTGACAATATGTTGGTGCGTATAATGGATACCATGTAACAACGTATCAGCGATATCATTAATGAGCAAAATAAACAGATTAAAATATCTGTGGTGCGGAAATACTTCAAAGTTAACGAAATCCAAAGCGTGGCGGAGCGCATACTGTGCTGTACTAAACTATCAAGAGGGGGGCTGAAGTCAGGTTCATACAGCAATAGAAATCTAATTAAACATCTAAGAACTAAACAGAAGAAAGAGTATGATGGAATTGCCACCAGAAGCAACCCTGTGCAACAACCAAACGTGCAGCACACACCAACACGGAGAGAGAAAATGTCAAATGGCAAACATTGCGCAGTGAAAATGACAGAAGCTTTTACCCAGTATCGATCAGGCACAGTGTAGTTATGGTGGTATGCAGGGAGGAGCGTGATACTTTTGGAGGTTGTACACGGTATAAAATGTTTGTGAACCACTGTTTTAAAGGTTAAAGAGTGACATGTTTTTAAATCATAATTAACCTGCCACAGAGACTAAAACACAATGATGAGCACTGCTGTGATCCCCCCCCCCATGTGGCAGGTCTTACATACTGCCTGTTTAGTGGATTGGCTGTATTCTGGTTTGTTCTGGCTTTCACATTTTTTTCAGATAAATAAGTGCCCTGTTTGGTGCTGCAGAGGAGGGTATATCATTATTATCATTTATTGCAATATTTTTAAGTAAATGATATTGCTGCATCCCTAAAATATATAATAAGAATGTGATTCAATCAGTTGACAAAAACAACAGACCTCCTGCAAACAGTGCTGCAGTACGTATGCCCATGTGCAGAGGTGGAAAGTTCAGGTTCAGAAAGTACCAATCCAGACCAAGATTTTGTTTCAACTAACCAGACTCACATTCACAGAGTACTCAACTAGTTCGTTGTAATATTGTGACATGGAGCACTGTGATGTAACACTGTGATGTAACATTGTGATATGTAACACTGTGACATGGTGCAGTGTGACATGTAACACTGTGATGTAACACTGTGACATGGAGCACTGTGACATGTAACACTGTGATGTAACATTGTGATATGTAACACTGTGACATGGTGCAGTGTGACATGTAACACTGTGATGTAACACTGTGACATGTAACACTGTGACATGGAGCACTGTGACACAGAGCACTGTTAGGGCCCTCTCTCTGAGCTCTTCTCCCCCACCCCCACCTCCTCCCCCCCGCAGCCCAGGACCCAAACCTGGAAGTCGTGAAGTTGGACGTTTCCCCTGGAAGCTCACTCATGCTCACGCCTTCGCCAGACGGCCCGTCTTTGGAGCTGGCAGGTCTGGGGTCCTCCCAGGTGTCCCCCATCTCCCAGGTGTCCCCCCAGGTGTCTCCCGCCTCCCAGGTGTCCCCTGTCGCCTCCCAGCTGTCGGAGAGCACGTCAGACACCGGTGTCCCTGAGGCTCCCGGCCAGGCCTTTGAACCCGGTCCCCAGGAGTCACCCGGGAGTGAGGGAGAGCCCCGGGCACAGGGGGACCGAGACCCTAAGAAGGACAGGCAGCATCTCCACTGCCCCGTGTGCAAAGTCACTGTCAACTCCCTGTCTCAGCTGGAGGCCCACAACAGCGGTAGGCTGTCCCAGTGCATTGTGGCTCACTGAAAACTGAATTTGTACCGTGCAGTAACTTCACTAGGGCTGTGTTATATGTTAATATCTTACCTAATGCACGTGAGGTAGGTTTAGGTTGACGTGACTCTCTCATCTCATGTCTGCAGGGTTTGGATTTCTGTCCCCACTGTCGGTCTGTGTACAATTTACTTGTTCTCCCAGGATTACACAGGCGAACAGTTGTCTCTAAATTGCGTGCAGCATGTGACTGTGTCTATGTGTGTGTCCTGCACTGGACTGGCGTCCTGTCCACTGTGTCTCTCTGCCATGTGCTTCATGGAATAGGCTTCAGGCCCCCCTCCACCCTGTAATGGATGAGTGTTTATGGATGGTGTACAACTATAAACGGCACACATCTGATGTCCACGCCGATCTTGCCTCTTCCAGGTTCCAAGCACAAGCTGATGCTGGAGGGTCAGAGCGTGCAGCCAAGGCGCCGCACTAAGCTGCTCTCCTCTCGGCTGGCCGGCAAGAGCAAGCGGATGGGCGCAAAGGGCAGCGTTGGCGTCGGCAACAAATCCTTCCACTGTGAACTGTGCGAGATCTACGTCAACTCCGAGACGCAGCTCAAACAGGTGGGCGTGGCCCAGACCAGGGCCGACACTCTGACGTAGGTGTCGGACAGTAAGGCCGCGGGTTCCGAGGAGTCGACACTGAAAGGGAACGGCTCTAGTGATGTTCTTTATAATGACAGACGTGCTAAGAAAACAAATGATGCAATGTAATGTAAGGCTTCCTGTAGGGGCTCTTTGAATAGCCTGCGGGATATGAGGCACATGCATAAACTCTTTTCATCGTCATCGTAAATTTTACGGGGGCGCGTTTCACAGCGCCTGGAAATCGTCATTATTGTGATTTATTATCATTCTGCTGCTGCTCTCCCTCATTCAGCCTATGCTGTTCGGGGGGGGGACATTGGCGTAAAATCACACCTGACTGAAAGTGACCGATCACCTCAGTCCCTGGGTGGCCTTCACTGCCGAGGCTACGTAGTGGGTGGGCATTCTGGCGGAAACCAAACACCTGGATTCCAGAGAAGTTCAGGTCTAACTTCAGAGATGAGGGGTGAGGCGACTTGCAGTGCGCTTTGAGAATGAGCAGTGTGACATTCTCAGAGGGTTAGGGGCAGTGGTAACATTTTCCAAAAGGCCTTCATTACGGTGGCTTTGGTCCAAAAACCACAGAAGTTAAAATCAGGGGACGGCAGAGACCTGCCCGCCCCTCCCCCACCGCTCTCCGCTAACACTGCTGTTTTCAGCGAGCAGCATACTTCATTTGCAATGATGCAATTCACTGTGAACGTGAAAATGAATTGCAGTTTTGGGAACCTTTAATGTGCATTTGATGGCTTTGTGGTTGCAAGACGTATTTGTGAAATGGAGAGGACTGGAATAAAAATGGCTGGAATGGAAACATCTCGTACTATGGAAGAAGCATGGAAAAGTCAACGACACAAAAAGCCCCTGTGATTCTTGTTCTTTATTCATCATTCATTATATTTATTATATTCCACGTGTATATTACAGTACCGCACTACACTGCAGGAAAGCTTGTCATAGACAGGGCCTGCCTTAGACATTTACATATTTTAAAGACAGATTTAGAAAAATCATTTCAGGGAAGCATATTATGGATGCAAGGGATTAAAAGTGCAGGCAGGCATGTGAGTTCACACGAAGCGCAGAGAGAGAGAGAGAGATGAAGTGTCAATGAGGATTGAAGTTAAACCGAAAGCCAAATTGTGTGTAAACATCCATTTTAATCCTTCAGATAGTTTATGATGCCTTGGAAGGTCAAAGTAAGGAGGTCTTACTCTCACAGTGATGGGAAGAGCCTTTTAAAACCTCTTATTAAATGTCTGTGCATTAGTATAATTCCTGGGGCTGAAGAATGTCACTGTGAGAGGACATCAGATGCAAAGGTGCATCAGGTGGAATCAGGAAGTGAAGGGGGGTTGGTAACACGCTGCAGTCATTTTTGGCGGGAGTTTGGGGGGTAGTTAAGGGCTGGCTGTGGGGGGAGGGGGCAGTGAGTGGCATGAAGGTGGAGACGATAGGCAGAGGCTCCCCATACTGACCCGACGGCCCCTTGCAGCACACGAACAGCAGGAGGCACAAGGACCGGCTGGCCGGGAAGCCCCCGCGGCCCAAGTTCAGCCCCCACAGCAAGCACCAGCAGAGCTCTGTCTTAGCGGTGAGTGCTGCCGTGTGATCATACCCCCCTACCTCCAGCACACACAGATGCATGCACACTCACGTGCCCCCCCTCCCCCCCCCCCCCCCCCCCCCCCAAATGCAGAATGGCAGATGGAGCAGCTACGCGGGTGGGGTGGTGTCCGCCATGAAGAAGGTGTTTGACCACTGCAGCCTCACCACACTGTCCCCGCAGGTGAGGCCTCTGTCTTGTGGGGGGGGGACACACTGCAGCCCTGTCCTCTAAGCCATCTCCTCTGCATCGAGAGAGTCAGATGCTTCTGGGTGACGTGCATAAAGAGAGCTGAGAGTGGGCGTGCAGACCGCGGTAAATCCCTGTAAGACTCAGGGAGTAAAACAAAGAATTAGAATTAGAAAGAACTACACCGGATCCCAGCTACAATACCCACGCACACACGTCCTCACAGGACTGCTATTTATGCAGCTGCTCGGGGAACATTAGGTCCCAAGACAGTGAACATTCTTGTCTGGGACTCTGGAAGGCTAACAGGGAGCTGCCAGCTCAATTTGTTGGTTTATGGTCTCGGCTCTGAGCCATCATTGTAATCCCTTGTGACCCCCGTCTGCACATAGAGACATGGCTGATGGCGGCTAAGCGTATGAGATACCCCAGAAAGAGCACCAGGGCAACCAGCTCAGTGCTACTGACCACAGAGAAGATCAGTTCACAGAGGCTGTGACGTTCTTCTTGTAGATGAATAATGACCTTTCTCACCGCGTCCGCCGGCACTCTGGAGGAATCATCGTCGTAAGCATGCGAGTGAACGCTGAGACTTCGACCGGGAGGTCACGGGTTCAAGTATAACCACACAGAAATGGATGTTCCACTTTTGGAGAGCAGACTTTTGAAACATTGGGCCAAATTTGGTGGGGGAGGAGAACTGCGGGCACTAATTCGGCAAACTGATCAACTTAGTAACTAATCAAGCTCATGCAGTCTTCTGTTTTTTTTTGTGAATTGTTATGCCCACCAGGGTTCACTGTATCTATGGTATTTTATTATGGGGGAGTCTTGTAATTTAATAATTAATCAAGTATGAACGTTCTGCCCCCCAACTCCACCCCACACCTTTGTGGAATATGCAGGCATATACATTGCAGTTTATTTTTCATGTAAACTTACTGATAACATCTTATCAAACTAGTCAGTGTATTTAGTGTAACTGTGGCCAACTAGGTCAGCATAACATGTAGACTATGTATGGCGAACAATATCAGAGTAATAGGGGGTACTTAAGCAGCACCAGCCACATGACCCACTGTTATTCTAAAAATATTGATATTTGCTTGACATTTATGCTGGTTTATTCTTATTTTCTAGCCTGCTATCTACTGACGGTCTGTATCAATATTGACCACAGTGTTTTGTTCACTAAAGCTTTATCACAAATCTAAAATCCGCACCCTCAGCCTGTTGCAGTTGTGAGGGTCCATAAATAACACTGTATACAGTGATTCTATTACCAACGATGTCTGAACGGTTTTACATGAAGTTTATGGTGCTGATTAAGAATGTGACTTCGGTTTTGCCAGATTGGCTCTAGTTTATGAGATATTTAATAGTTAATTAATTAACACAACTCGTTTGAAAAGCAATCAGGATTGCAAGAATATTTTTATTTTAATTACAACTAGTAAGTAAACAGTCTAACATCATACAAAAAAGAAATTAAAAATATCTAACAGTGACAGGAAAAAGTTATGTATGATTTGATTAATTAATACAATATTAATTAGTTATTATTATCACCATCTTTCCAATGCTTCAAAAAAACGCTGATTATGCGATTTCCTTTTATGTGTGTCATCAGGACAATCACGTTGGAGACTCCAACACTAGTCTGCCATCATGTGTATGTCCCATCGGCCTTGGTATCTCTCCTCTATCACCTTCATATCCTGGTGGAACCTCTCGCCTTGTTCCTTGCTGAAGTCTCCAAGGTTATCTGGCAATCTGTTTAAATGGCTATGGAGGTCTTTATGCTCATATTAACTCTGAACACATTAACATATTAACAGCAAATTTCTGAAGTTAGCAAGCACATCTTGCACCAATTCTTCATAATTGTCTGCTCTGTGATTACACAAGTAGTTCTTCACAACATGTACTCTCCACAGATGTAGCAGAATACATCAGGACAGATGATGCAGGCTCTTCTTGATGAAGTCGTAATTTTTACATGTATTTATATACTTATTAATACAGAACTTTTTGGGTATAAACCAAGACTGGGTTGACAAACTTATACTGTAGCCGACTTCTTTACTCTGCAAATTCACAGTTGAATTCTGGCTTCAAAAAGTCGCTTTTTTGAAATACAAAATAATTATATGGGATATTTCATTAAAGAGTCAAAAGACAGACTAAAAGCTGTTGCATTTGTTATCGCACACAAGTTGCATTGGGGGAATGCATTATTTTCATGGATATCCATTATCTCGAAAACTAGAACCAATTCAGCAAAAGTAATGGGATTTTTGAATTCAGCGCCCTCAAAATACCCTAAATCCATTTTAAAAACCTTGGCTTTTTTGGTACACCTGTGTTATTGATGAGATTGCAGGTCCTCTTTCTGGCATATTGCCCCCTACTGGACTGGATGTCTAACTTTACCTCTGAGTATAATGAAATGCAATGCGAAAAGGTTAGATATTCCTCTTAAAATGTTTCCAGTGTAATGGGTGCTGCTGTCTTGCAGACCAAACTGGCCCTGCAGAAGCAGCTGACCAAAGGCTTAACCACCAGCTTCCTACCCAGCCCGCTGAACCCGGCCGCCCTCTGCACCATGGCCCCAAACCCGCTGGCCTTGCGTCACCCAGCAGGAACTGCCACCCTCATCCAGACCCCTCTGCTGAGCCCCGCGCTCTTTCGGCCTGCCCCGGGGCCCCTGAGGGCCACGCACACTCCCATCATCTTCTCCCCATACTAGACCCCAGAAACCCCAACCTGGAGATGGAGAGAACTATGCAGCCAGATAAACAAAGTTAAATGCTGATATCCATCCCACGAGCTTCAGACACATGGACTCTGTTACAGACACTTCACAGGAGCTGAGGCGTACGGTGGCTTTCATTTGCTTTCTGAAGAGTGTTGGAGAAGCGTGATTCTCCTTTAACAAGCAGGTGGAGCAAAATCTGCACGGAGACCATAGGTCAATTCTATTCAGCACATTATTAATCTGTCAGCAGTAAGGGAAGGCCTGTTTGTTTTCCTGACAGGGCTGATGCCAACTAGATCCCTTTACTTGACGCTTCTTAAACATTTCTTACAAGTAAGAGCAGGGATTACGCACCTCTGGGGTCCCCACGCCATTCCAATCGCCAACTTGTACGCAACGAGGTGGCCCAGCAGGGGGTGCCGGATCTGCACAGGGGCCGTGTGACACCTGCAGTGGAACAGCCAGAGTTTCTCTCCACCAGACAGCCCTAATGGAAATACACTCCATGCAGCGCTTGGGGGGGGGGGGGGATGGTAAGCCAGAAGGGTTGGATTTACATATTCGCGTGAAAACAGATCTGGATGCTTCCAGCCTTTGACAATCTGCCTCCCTGTGATTAATATGTGGGCATTATGGGAACTGAGGAACCATCGATCCAATGGCATGAGCCCAATATGTCTGCCAACGGAAGCTATCAGGCACATGGGCTATTCTATAACAGCGAGGAACCTTCATATCGTGGGGCCTTTCATAACTAAATGAGTAAAGTGATTTTTGTTTCAATAGTGAAACAGTGAACCCGATGCCATTCACACAGTTCGGCCCAATGTTTCCAACACGGTGACGTAGACCGCTCATAGCGAGGATGTTGCCAGCCAGCCCTGTTCATATTCAGTGACAAAATGGATGATACCTCTGACCGTGCATAGCTCTCGAGTGGAAGTATCACCTGTTACATTTCACCAGCAGCCGGATGAAGACACAGCACTCCCACTCATTTGTACAGCAACTCAAAATCTCATGTGCTTCAGACCTCATTCTGACACTAATGCGCTAACAGGGTCGTTCACTGAACACCAAGCTTTACCAGTGTTCACCATATTTCCAACATGACTTCAAACATTTGCCTACTGCCACGGCTTCTACAGGTTAGTTTGATCACCTGAACATCTTATAAATATGTCAGGGAAGTTCCATGCATCCCCACCTCCTCTTGCGATGTCTCGTTGCAAGTCCGGACAGAGAGTGGGACAAAGATTTCCGAAGCGTACATTTCCAGATTCTTGCAAATCATTGTGGAATTAGCTACATGTGTAGTTGTAGGATTAAATCCAAGCAAAGTGTTAAACATGCTTAATTAGCAAAGTAAGAATGCTTGAGGTGGGGGGGGGGACGACGACTGGGGGTCTTGAAACTTTGAGACATAATAGGCAGGGAAAACACAGGAAATACTAAGCACATGCAAATACATGTCATGTGACATGCATAGGGGCAGGTCATTTGTCACCAGGGTGAAGGCGTTATTGTTGTTTATCAGAGGGCCAATCGTGGGAGTTCTATTTTCAGGTCAATTAATCTTTGACGGCTGAGGCGTTGCGGGCTAGAGAATGGAATTCCGAAATAGTCCATGTTCTCTGACGATCTTTACGCCTCAGAGGAACCACAGATGTGCTGCTTCCATTACAAGCGTCAAGGAACCAGGTGGGATAGAGAGGAAATGAGAAGTTTGCGCCCCGTCGCTCGCTGCTACTACGTGCGCTGTGAAGACCGAGGCCAGGAAGGACAAACAGGGTTTTCAGAAGCCTGCAGACCTGCTGTGGAGAAGATGCCAGTTACAGCACAGTGCACTGTGCAGCTGCGAGCAGTTAGGAGCAGGGATTTTTTTTTTTAGCAATGGCCGTGACTGTCATCTAGCGTTATTGTCACTCAAACGTCGTCCTTTTTTACATGCTGTTGTTTTGTTGTAGATGCACCGGTACAGTTTTGCCCAGTTACTCTCCCTAGTACTACAGCTCTTAGAAAGTTCCACAAAACAGAGTTATCGTGCAAAATCTCATAGCACTTATCACTGGTACCCTGCTGGCTGTAACAAATTCTATAGTTATTCCTCACTTTTTTCCATCCTCCCGGAATGAAACAGCACCACCTGCTGGTTACACTTATCCACAGCAAAGTAATCCAGCTTCCCCACTGTCTTAACTTGCATTTTCCACAAGCAGTGGGCCCTTGGGAATATGAAGCCAGTTGTCTTGCCATAGAAATCAAGTTTCTTATTACTGAACCAGCCTGTTGTTTGGTTTAATTGATGTTTTATTTGTTAACAAAATCTCCAGAAGTGGCGATTGTTATGAAATATTGTGAAAAACTAAAATATTTAGATAGGTATATAGATAAATAGATAAACGCATAGCATATATATATATATATATATATAGATTTTACTTATTTTTACGGTCTTTAAAAGCAAATTTATCTGAGAAGAATACAGATGAAAACTGATCTATTTACTGTAAAAAAAATGTTTTTGAAAAAGGTGAAAAGGTGTTATTTTCCATGGCTTCACCTTTTTTGTAAGCAAACAGTAGTTACCCATGTTGGAAGAAGGTGCTTGTGTGTCTGTTTTCTATTTCTGGATGCCAAGTAATTTTTGTCAGTGATCTGACAAGCATATTTACATAGAAGTAAGTAATGAGGCCTCGGGATGACTCTGTAGGCTGCAAATCTGGTAGTCAACTGGAACGGATTTGGCGCACAGGGACCGCTGGATTCCAGTCAACCTCAAATTCCACTTAAAGCCATATTCCCGTTCTGGTGAGGCGATGCTTATCCATCTAGTTTCAGCCAAAATTTCACCTAATATCTTTTTACTCAGCACAGTTTTATCAAGAACTGGGTGGTTTCAGCAATTGTGATAAATTTGTATCTCCGCAATGGTCCCACAAAGAAAATGTTCTGTTTTTAACCATTTTCACACAGGGAATTTGAGCTAAATGTATAACCTTTTCGCAATCTGATATCACTTCTCTTTTAGTTTTTGTTGCAGCTGTTTTCAGAATGTGTTGAATTTGCTAGTGAAGACTGACATCTCGCAACAAAGACAAGTTCTTACCGCAGCGGTGACCTTCGTACTGTCACACTGAAGAAAGCAGGGGAATCACTTGCCTGGTTTACTCACACTTACACTGTAACCCTGCTTTTCACTGTTTTGTAGAAAAGTGTGAAAGAGATACAGGTGCAACGGGTGGGATTATTATGGCCAGTGAAGCGCGCTGGTGGAAACTACTGTGCCAGCAAGCAGGTATTTTAGCAATAACAGGATTTAAACGATGATGTGACTCAGGTTTCATTGGGGTTAATGGATGTATTAAAATTTGGATTACAGACCCACAATATGCTCAGAAACTGCCTCCTTTAAGCCATAGGGAAATAAAGTATGGAAGTGCTCCAGTATTTTCCAATTAAAAATTCTACGACTTTCACTTCCTCTCTCTCCCTGCCTGCCTCTCTCTCTTGCTCTCTCTCTCTTCCCTTTATCAGTGAATGTGCACATTTAATTGCAAATGTAAGCATGCCATAACCCTCGCAGACTAAGTCATTCTGTTGATATGTGAGATAAGATGGTTAGGATACAGAAAAGCCTTTCAGCCCGCTGGATATCACACAGAGCAGCATGGAGAATCAGGGTCACTGCACATGTGGTTCAGAAATACACTGCAGATCACTTTATTCTGCTCCACTTTTTGGAAATTGCTATTTCTGCTGCATCTCATATATCATCACAACTGGCTTTCCTTGTTGTAAGACATTTTATTTGCCTCCAAAAAAAAAAACAGCAGGTTAAACAGCTCAGAAATATGGATTTGCATTTTCTCATAAAACGGCACGATGAGGTTATTGGACAATGGGGAAAATTATGCTTGCTGAGTAAACGTGCAGGAAGGCACTCCCTATAGGAAAACTTACCCAACCGTAAGTTACAAAACCGTAACTCATACATACTGTTCTGTTTTTTTTTTAACATTTGCTGTCTGTCTCCAGAGCAACTAACTAAATTGTGTCCATCACTACTGTTAGATCTCAGTTACTTCAGTGAAATTGTACCACGAAGCAGTCATTTTGGTATAGCGTACAGTGTAAGTCACTATAAACAAAGGCTTATGCTATATAACTAAATGATGTGATTAAATAAGGCAATCCCCAGTGCCTGGTCTGCAGTATATGAACCAGTGGAAGGTGTATCATTGCTAGCCAGAAGGAATATAAATTCATCAGTAAGGGATCATTAACGGTTTTTATCATTGAAGCCAATGTTGTGTAGACATGATTTGAGAAAAGGCTAAATTTGGTCTTCCAGGTGGGTTAAACATGATTTTCTTCCACAGATGTAGACAAATAATATTTGGTGTTGAATATTATCCTATCTTTTATTTTAATTCACAATGTTTTATATCTTCCTAGCTTTATTTTCTCCTCCTCAGAAACCTGCTTTCTTATTTGCTTTTTATGTAAATACTTACAAACAATTGTGTATCATGTGCCAAAAGGTTATTAATATTAATAATAGAGTCATGGCAATAAATGTTAGTCATTATTTTTTGGTTTGCAAGCTTCCATAAGTACTTAACATACATGAACACAGACTGTGTATATATGTCCGTGACCAGGATAAGTGTTTAGAAGACAAATGTATGGATGGATATATATTTGTAGTGTGTTGATTTTTCATTTGGTCTTTCCACATCATAATGCCAAAGGGGTTTGACATTAAAGCAATGCATCCAAGCATTTAAATGTTAAAAGCACAACTAGACTTGTTATACATGGGTCTGTGTGACCATCCAGTGTCATGGTCACAATTATGGGGCACCTTTAGATGCTGGACAAGGCTAATCACAGATGGGTGCTCGCTTAAACATCCATTGTGTCCTGAGAGAGGGATTTATTTTTTTTTAAATTTTGTTACCATGTTAGAGTATCATCATTCCATACATAATGTACAATTACAGAGTAGCAACACAGACTACACAGTATTTCAAGCACAACTTTAGATGACTATCTGGTTATGGTAGATTGTTACAAGCAATTTGACTGTGTTAGACAGTATTAACACTGTATGTTGACAGGTAAAGCCTTTCTGTGCTATAAGGACATAGACATAGGTGATTCTGACAAATGAAACTGAAACCTCACCTCACCACAAAATGAACCTAAGACAGCGTGGTCCTGCATGGAGATACTGGGTGTGAATTTCTCATGCCTCCGCTGGCCTGTCCAGGCTGCTGTCCAATCCAGAGACCCTTTCACCTCTGATTCCTCTGGTAAAAATCACTGTGACAGATCATCCTAACACAAGCCATTCTCGGTTTGTCCCAACATATATAGACTTTTCGAAGACATTTGTTATCACTCATGCTTGGTCTGCAGAAAAATGTAAATTATGGAAACTTGACAAACAAGAAAACAAGTATCGGTTTGTGTAGGGACTTGGCCAGTAATTTACGGTGTACTCCTTGTAATGTTCATTGTACAGACTTTTTTCTGACGTATGAAATAACAGCAAGGCACAAAGAGCAGAAATTGTATTTTGGTAAGAGATCATTGCTTTTACTGTTGTCGCTATGTGGTGGAGAGCCAGAACTTGAGAGACACATGGAGTGGATGGCAAAATAAATGGGTGCTTCCACTTCAGCCGTGTCCCGTCTTGCTTTAATGGAAACCGCCTCATTGCCACACACCCTCTCCTCTCCAGACGTCATCAAACTCTCCTCCTGAAAGAAACATGGACGCCTTGCCTTCCACTTACAGATCTCTGACGTGTGAGACAGTCAGGTGCTACAGACATCTGTCTCTTTGCTCTGTCTGACATTACTCAGTAGCCAGACACAGCCTTAGCCGTACAAGTCTTCGGAAACCAGGGGAAAACCCACCAGTTTACATTCATTTCAATTATTCATGCTGCACTTGGAAAGAATGCCTGCTAAACGCATGACTGGGTGATCCTGGAGTATCCAAGAGGAATGTGATTTTGAGTCACCTCCTGCGGCAAGCGTGACCGCATCAGATGATGTGGGCACATCATGGACGTGTCACGTCCCCGTAAGGTTCTGTAAAATGTGACATTATTAAATTAAGCTGTAAACATACTGAAAACAGAAAATGGCTGTCAGATTGTGCCTGCTTGAAATCATATGTAGGTAGCCAAAGAGGGGAACATTCGCTCCTATACTCCCTCCTCCATACTCACTCCCTGTTATGTCTAGAGGTCTGAGAAAGACTATATAAGAAAAAACACATGCTGAGTGAATAGACCAAAGCAGAGGCCAAAGAGGATCCAGAGGCAGCTAAAAGAAACACTGTAGGAAAGTGTATTATTACGTTTGCAGCTGCGCCAACAGAAGTGTAGCTATGGGCAGCCTTGTAAATAACATCAAGCACTGCAGTCCCTTTGTCTTGTGATAGCAATCCACACTTAGCAGCACAGAGATCGGATGCCTCCCTCTTATGAAGCCAAACCTGCACCATGTGTTTAAAAGCTAACCTAACTTCATCAAAACCGGTTAATCATATGTGCCTGCATCAACTTAATTTGCCACACTGGTTTTACATGGTGGTGTTGAATATTGTTACACTCCTGCTGTCAGCTGCATGTGAGCACTTTGCTTATCTTGTTGGGCCTGCAGGAAAGCACCACCATGAAGCAGCCTGGTTATTAATTAGATCCCTAGCAGATCGATGTCTTTGAGAAGATTTGACTGAAGACACTACAGTTCATATTCAAAGACATCTCCTCATGAGTAATAAATCACACATTTACCCACCACATCCAGGGTGTCACTACAAACCTGCCTTGTATAAGCAAGACAGAAGATAGATAGATTTATGTCTTACTCCTGCACTTTGTCAACTGGGTAGGTGACAAAGTTGGTTTGTCAAATCCCAAAAGAAAAAATGTGTACCTCCCACATCTACCTATTAAAAAGTCATTTGCCCAGGCTCTAAAAAAAGAAATAGGTTGATATCTAAAAGTTTCCTCTCCACTATATACTTCAGAATATATAACAAAGTAATGTACTTTTTATTATTTTAAATTCATCTCTTTGGAATTTGGTCTGCGTATTTCTGTTTTTCTGACTTTAACCTGCTGTGAGTATCTAATGATCTACCCCAGGAGGGGCCTACTTCAGGGCAAAGCGACTCTCCACACACCTGGGGCATGTTCTGTCATCCTCTGGAGACAAAGACAATTCCAGTCAAAAAAAAAAAGATCAAACTGAGTTTCCAGATAATCACAGGACTTGGTGGGTTTAAATCTGACGGGGAATATTATGTGCTTTTCCAGAAGTGGTCCCTAGCTCGATCGTTAAAGCTACGGCAGGGAGGTGTACCTAATCCTCTCTGCGTTTCCTTCCTCAGCTCACTACCCCATTGAGGTAGCAGTCAGGGGGGGCTGCACTGGGCTCTCCGGGGGAATTGTCTGCCTGTGAAAAGATAATACAGGTTGTCTCTTTTTTCCTTGCCGAGATCACAGAGTGCAATTTTCTGGTCAGATTCAGAGGTTACGCCGGATTAAGGTCTTCCGCATAACGGAAAACTGGGGAATCAAAGGCACTTCTACAGCCCTAGGAGTACTGTATCGTGACAAGGGAAAGCCGGCGTGGAGCAACACTGCCCTCTGTTGCTGATCAGGTGCCATGTCAACATGCTCTCAAAGGGAATTTGAACCCCAGACAGAGAAAGGAAGTTCAGGACGCATTTACCAGCATGTGACACTGTCAGGCTCGTCAGAACCCACAGCTGCTGTAAATATCAAATTTGCGAGTCACCCATGAAAGTACCCCTATTTGCATATTTTTGCATTAATGAGGATTAGTCAGTTATTTGACATGTTCGGAGAAGCACGATAATTGTCAAGCTCTTTCCATGTCTATTTGAATCTACATCTCATCTCACTGTCAGAGATAAGATGTTTCAGCATGATAACAGAATTATTGTGAAAGGAGAGGATTGAAGAGATGGAACAGAATTAGTATAGCGAGAGTGAACTTCTCCCCCAAGAGAAATAACAAGTAACAAGTATTTTTTTTCATAGAATGAACCTGAAAACATTAGACTCTGTGAAGCATTACTTCATGTAGCAAACTTCACTGCTTCATTGATTAATCGATAAGCAAGATGTAAAGGTAATGAAAGGGCATTCATTCTCACAGAACAAATAAGCACAAGGCCAGCTTTAGAAAACGGCATACAATCTTAGAGTATACCCCAACAACTGTTCATTGGGTGTTAAGATGTAAAATTTCATATATAAAATGTAATCGACTATATTAGCTGACAATCACAAAACCCTAAACTAGATTATGGTGGTATGTAAAATATGACATAGCTGCTATTAGATGATAGAAAAATAGTATTCATAATTAGAATTCATATTAACTAATGAGTTACAGCAGCTACGGTATCATTTTATTACTACCAGGAATCAAGATTTTTGAAATCAAATGAGTGCTACAAGAAATCTTTTTACAATCCTTTTTCTTCTGAAATTCAGTTTCCATACTGAATTTAAAATCACATATTATCAGTAAAATAGACATTTCAAACCTTCCACAGAAAAACAAATTGAAAATAACATCAATTTAGACTCATTATTACACCGATAAATAGAAACTCAACGTTTAGGAAATATTATCAACATTTACTTTCAGTAGTAAAAACTGTAATATAATACAAACAACTTCATAAAATGATGATATTTGACTTTAGCTATGAATTTTACTCAGAGTATTTCTTAAAAATAGGTCACAATACACATTACAAAACACCACCAGCAATAACCAGCGTAACAGATGTCCTTACATATTGTGCACAATCATCTTGAAAGAACTTCTTGTTCAAGACACACATCAATAAATTTCTGCAACAGTAACACATTTTTGTGCCTTATTTCCAAATTATGGAAATAACAGCTGATAGCAGTAGCTTAACGCAGATTGCTGCAGTCGCACTGAACATTTACCACCAAAAAAAAAAACCCATTAAGAAACATTAATGGTCCCATCATCTGGTAAAATCAGGCAGAGCGCTGATGAAGACACTTCAAAGTCACTCACTGAACTACACAAACAGACAAGCAACAAATTTACATTCTCCTGATTGCATTAGAGTACTTGCACACAAAGTACACAGAGATGATTATTAACAGTTCAGTAATCCCCGCATTTTAAAATAAAAGTGGAAATTAAATAGCACTGTGGAAAAGCACTGGGGCCACCATAAGGAAGCTAATATTGTTAACGAAGGACAATTTTATAGATGTCACGGTGGCGAGATCTAATATGAACCCTTGGTCAAATGCGTCATTAACTTGTTTATTTTAAAATGTAATTAGATGCAGTTCAAAAACAAACTGCACTAATCCCACAAAGTGAGGATTACCATGTTTCTCAGACCGTCCCCCACACGCACTGCACCTGCGAGTCAGGCAGTACTCGTGGGCTCAGTGCACTTGTCGCTCAGCTGTCCAGTGAGCCACTGCTCTTGTTCTTGTTGCGACTCAGCGGGAAGGTGGACTTGCTCTGCGGCTGGGTCATCTTGCTGGCCAGGTAGACAAAGGGCTCTATGAGAGTCCGCCGGTCGGCGACCGACACCTCCCACAGGCGCGCCTTCTCCGTCTTGGCCCAGTGCTGCGCCACCTCCGAGTCGACCTTCCTCTGGTGCTGCAGGTCCACCTTGTTCCCCAGCACTACAATTGTCACCTGTCAAAAAATGTATCGACTGTCAGTCCAACCATCAAAAAAAAAAAGTGCTCTAATAGAGAAAAAAATATGAGATACACTCTGCCGGAAGTTTATATTTTTACACTGATACTAGGGCAATCTCCCCCCCCCCCCCGAAGGTTGTTGCTCACCATGTGGCCAACAACCCGTATTTGAATTTTGTTTTCCATTTCCACTAGCCAACCAGTTACAATACTTGGGTTCGGCAAACCAAGCAGATGAAAATTTGCATTTTGCCATTGTGAGCGATGTAAATTGCAAGGTAGTGTACGTCAAGTTTTCTTGCTGGAGATTAATCAAGCACGCACTCCACAGTCATACCCCCCCCCCCCTCTTTGATTTGCGATGCTGCTCTTCAACTTTTACATTTGATGCAGTAATTAATACCTTTTTGCTTGCATCTCCATATTTCTGCATTGGAAAATTCGATTGATAACTGATATGCTTTTGCCTAATATCGTTGGTGCCGGCAGTGAAACCCGCCAGCACTAATAATGTTAAGGCTAGTGCTGTCAAAACTGGCCAAAAATGATGTCTGATTATTCCTTCTAAAAAAAAAACACATAGGTTCAAACTATTCAAATATCATTTTGTGCATTACAACAAGAGACATAACTACTTAAAAGTGATTAGTTGTCACTGTTGACACACCACAGCACACAGTGTACAACAACAAAATGTGTCCTCTGCATTTAACCCGTAGCAGGGGGCAGCTCATTCAGTGCCCAGGGAGCAGTGCATGGAGGCGGTACCTTACTCAGGGCACCTCAGTGGTACTTTGCTGGTCGGGGATTTTAACCAGCAATTCTTCCCTAACCAGTAGGCCTGCTTGTATGGGTACGTTTATTTCAACATAAACATGTCTTTTAAAACATTTACATATCTAACCATTGCACAATAAACCTGCAGTGCATGAAGCTTTTGCCTGTAGCCTATTCAATATTCTATATATATTCAGTCAGTACAGTAGCATACACTTTTGATATGTTTTTTGTTTAAATAAAATTAAAGCAAATGCATATGAATGAAATAAGCTTCTTTGTGCAAACCGCTGCAGAGAGCAAGCTTCTTGCGGGCGGAGTGAAATATGAGGCAATATGGCTGTTTCGGTGGAGTTTCAGACATCACACCATGCTCATCTGGGTGCATATTTTAGAGTTGTGCCCTCAGGTTGCTAGTGCTGGAATGGCAGGCTAACTGTAGCTTACAGAGCTTGTATATAACTTTATTTAAAGAGTCCACAATTTTGCCATCTACTGACCAAAATCTGAAATTTTTCCTAACAGGAATTTTTAATTTTTTTTATTTAGATTGCTCGAAGTGCAAAACTCTCTCTCTGGAGCCGAGTTGGGTTGTGAACTCTCTGCCATCATTACCACATGGTGTTTGGTGAACCATTCGCTTGCTTCAATCAATGAAAATGACATTGTGACTCCTGGCTGTCATGCGGTGCATTCAGTGCAGCGGCACAGGCCCACACGAGAACGTTTTTTTTTTTTTTTTACACAATTAGATTATATCATTAAATTTAGAATACTCATTGACAGCCATAGTTACATCATCTTTGATTCTGTGGAAAACCAAAGACTGATCTGCCTTCCATATTCAGTAATGAATTACAAACATTTTGCACGCTATATAAATAAAATAAAAGGCCGTTTTAAGCATGATCGATCCCCCCCAATAATTAACAAATAACTAAAAAAGAAAAATTGCTTTTTGTCCTTCATTGTTTTGAGGTGGTGGTGCAACTTTGTATAAAATTACATGTGAAGTTTAACCTACAAGCTTTTTGTGTCTCCCATGCTTATTTAGCACAAAAGACACAGTTCCTGTTGTGCTACTGTTATGTGACACACGAAAGTGGCCAGGAACTAAAAAAGTTCCTAGTCATTAAGGCCCCAGAACTCAGAACTAGGTGAATGAACTTCAGTGGGGAAAGTGCCTAGCGATGGGAAATAAATCTTAATAATCCCTGCCCTCGGCTCATTACATCAGTCAGCACTTTGTCGGTTTGTCAAGCTTCACCACGCACCTCCTTCTTGTCACGGTAGCGATCGATGTCTTTCTTCAGTGCCTCCACGCGCTTAAAGGACTCCTTACTATCAATGCTGTAGATGAGCACAAAGCCGTCGGCAAAGCTGTAGTAATGCCTGGGGAACTCCAGGCCGTCCTTCAGCCCTCGTGTGTCATAGAAGCGGACCTGCTCACGCACACCCCTGTCAGTCTCCACGGAGCCAATGTAGATGTCCTCGAGGGTCTCCATTGGCTCAGAGCCTGTGGAGAAGCAAACTGAGCTTACTATGCTTTTGTATAAAATCCAGAGTGAGGCATTTTGCCGAATGGGTGGACCATGTCCCATGTAAAACTTGTATTGAGATCTAGATGTATTATGAAAGCCATTTTTATGATTACCTTTCTTCAGTTTTATATATTCAAAAAGAATGGATATTACAGCACTGAAAAATATTTAATCCATCTATATATTCAATTTGCATCTTTAAAGCATCCCACAACACAGAGATACTGTTCAGATATAGCAACCAAGTGTGTTAAATAGCATGATACGTTTACGAATTCCCTATACTATTACTCAGAGTGCATTCGCAGTGATCATGTTTACACTGTAGGAACTTATAGATATTCATATTGTGTTATTATCAAGGGTATTAAAGGGTATAACACTTACCGATAACATGATTGGCATATAGAAGATGCTCCAGCACAGCAGTTTTACCAACGGCAGCTTGTCCGCAAACCACCACCTTACAACTTTTGCCCATTATGAAGTATTTTCAAGGTAGAGTCAAACTCCTTCAACTGAAACTGATTTGTACAATATCGATCAAGGTTTATACATCGTATTTTAAAATCAAATTAGAAATACAGTGATATAAGGACCAGCCACGGGACGAGCCATTTACTAACAGAAAGGCGTCCTTATAAAAGGATATGTCGATGTAGATGGTGGTTGACATACTTGCCCTATACTTAAGCATATTTATTAAATAACGGACATTGTATACAGCATAGCTGCAAGTTATTGCTTCAGAACGCCATTTTCCAATGTATCCAATTTCCATCTACTTCTTAAGGAAGACAGAGAAATAGACTTGCCTTTCAGTTCGCCGTACCAGTTTATATGTGTATATCGGCAGATTAGGCAGTAGCCTAGGGAAAATGGTTAACTTTTCCATATGGCACCATTAGTAAATCTTTCGCCGTTCTAGCAACAAGTCATGTTCAAAACATACCAGATAACTAAAGCATAAATGTAAAAGTGCTTACTTTTGAAACATATAAAGTACAACGACAACCAAGACTGCACTCACCTCTTGTCAACTTCCTGTTTACTTTGCTTCATGATCACCTGATGGGGGCTGGACACCTTGGGGTCGCTTGCATCTCAGCACGCCCCCTGCCGTTTGGAGGTCCTTACAGGCCCAAGTCGCAAATCAATCAATCTATCTATCTATCTATCATTTCTAATAAAAACTGACTGATGGAACATAGGCATACCTAACCGCGGTGAAATACGTCTGTTACATATACTAAACATACTGAACTGTCTGATCCATCGCCCTCCCAGCTGCGGGATCTCATTCAAAGTGCAGCAGCTCACCCTTTCCCAGGAATTACGTCACCCGATGACGTAAGCTTAAGCCTTCTATGGTATGCCTCAAAATCTCTATGGTGGCCGGAAATATCCGCCTTTCCCACGGTAAGATGGCGGCAGTTGACAGCGAAGTGCCAATGGAGCCGGAGACGCACATCATGATCGAGGAAGAGATCGAACGGTAAACAAAGGCCGTCCGTATATGTGTTTATAGGTTTACAGCCAGCTCTCTAAGTCGGTACGTAGAGAGTATAAGTGCTGGTGCAGTTTCTGGTTATTATCGCCCGATCGACGGTTTTTGCCGTGTTAGGGGGTTATGAGGCCCTGCTCTCTCTCTTCCTCTCACACGGGGCAAGTCTCGTTGTGATCCGTCCATCGCATTTTTAAAGGCTTCTGTCCTTTACATACTTCTATTATTCTGGCCATCAGTAAGCCGTAAACAACCTTTCGTGATGGCGTGTTAAAATTATACGGTCAACACTAATGGTACGACAGCTGCGTTGATGTCCTGTAATGTTTGGGGAAAACTGAGACATGTATAAGATTTAGTACTATTTATTTTAGGACAACATTAAAGATTACGGACCAACAACAAGATACGTCGCTGTGGTTTATTTGAGCAGCTAATATTTATGGATGTTGGCAAAATGACCGTGGTGTTCATGGTTTTATATTTTTGTAAAGACAACTTTAGCGTCCTAAGAGATACTTATCTATATTTTATTTTTCCAGGCATTAGTTACATAGTATAACGTTAATCCAACTTGCTAGAAACGACAGTTGTTGTTTTAGATTAACAAAGGTAAGCATACCCCTCTACAGAAGTAAAGCATATTGTTATTTTATCTATGGCACAATATATTAAAATACATCCGTGCTGGTGGAATGTATTGTCTTATTAACTGGCATGCAGATTTAATTTAATCAGCATTGTAGACATGTAAATTCCCTACATCTTGCGTATAAAAGAAACCTAGATTATGATTTAACCCGGCGTGAGCTATTAGGTTATGACTTGTGCATATACACATCGTCACTCGCTTCACATATTTTCCCAGTGACACTCAGGTGCAGACCGGTTCCATGTAATCTCGAGAGAATGGTTGTGTGTGTGTGTGTGTGTGTGTGTGTGTGTGTGTGTGTGTGTGGTGGGGGTTAACTTTTAGCCGTAACCAAAGACACACCTATAGATAATTCATTTAAACGGAATAGCCCCATAAGTGTTATAAGTTATGAAAAGCAACTGAAATGTTTGGGAGGATCACAGGCAATTCTTTATCACTGAACCAGGAATTGGTACTAATATCATAGCCATCTCCCAGCGGAGTCACAGGGCACTGACTGTCCTATATAATCCCATATAATACATGTACTGAAAGAAAAATTGGCCGTGACTTAAGGTAGCTTGATTCCCTCTATATGTGTATTGAGGCACGTGTGTCTTTCTTGGGTTGGCATTACATTTGGAGATAGAGGTTAGTCTTCAGTAATTAATTTTCCTCTCTAGGTCATCTGTGTGAAGACTATTTAAAACCCAGTAGGAAGTCGGCACCTAGCCTAGATTTTTGGTCGTAATGAAGAAGAAAAAAACCAAGGCCATTTTTTGGCCTTGTTTCTTTTTGGAGCAATTTCTGTGAAGTAACTTGAAATTATAATGTGTATGTCAGGTGTGTGAATCCTTAAATCAAAGCTTATAGACCTTCACCTTTGGATAGTTTTTGCTGCCCTGTCGTCATGGTTTCTGCTCCTGAATGCAGTTACATGCCATTTTGACAGGATGGCACCTCTATGTAGTTTCTCTTATTGCTATAGGGCAGTGTTTCCCAATCTGGTCCTCTGAGATCCCCGACGGTCTACATTTTTGCTCCCTCCCAGACAGTCCATGTTTTTGCTTCCTTCCAGCTCCCAAAGCCCAACAGACATAGTCCATTCATCTCTAGTGTGAACATGCAAAGCACAAGGCAGGGTGTCCCCCCCCAATTCATGTTTGTTACATAAACCAGTGTGATGGCAGATTGCTTGCCTGAACCTACCTTTTCTATTTCAGTTTCCGGTGTTCAGTTGCATAACTCATGTTGTCATATGTTTTTAATGTTTCCTTTTTAATTTGTATTTCTTTCATAAGTATTGTTGCTCTGCAACATCCGTGTGGAACGACACCAGAATGCTGGGTGTCCTGTTGAATATAAACATGCTCCTACCTAATGAGTAACTGTTCTTCTTTGGTCTCTGTGTTTTCTCCATCTCTGTAGGGAAGCAGAAGGTTTCAAAGAACAAGGGAATGCCTTTTATATCAAGAAGGATTACTCTGAAGCATTTAACTACTACACCAAGGCCATAGGTGAGGATGTCACAGCTGTATTCCAGTACCTTTCTCCACTGACTGCAGTGAAGCTGACATGCAGTGAACCAGTTTATCTGAAGATTTAGCCACTTTCTTTCCAAAACATCAACATTGAGATGTGTCTGACTAGTAAAGCTTTTAAGTTTTATTAAATTGCTACAAGGGAAGGAAGGAACTAGTTCCATTTTGCAAAAATAATATGGACAAAGAATCTCTCTCATTCCGAATATTAGGCTGAAGCTCTTCCCTTAATCTGCATTCAGCATTTTACTCCATCATTGAATATTCACTGTTTTCTCTCTTTTTTTTTTAAATTTATTTTATTTATTTATTTTTATTATTTTTGTTCCTTTTCCACATCCAGGCAATATTCTTTTTTTTTGGAAACTCAGTGAGTCAGTCATGTTTAATGGGTAACAGTGGATCCATTAATAAAATCTGGGAGGAAGGAATTACTTCTGATTATGCAAGTAAAATAATGATTTTTTGGGGGGGTGGGGGGCACATCATAGCTTTTATCTAGTTGTTTCTTCACTGGTTGTGTTCGGGCAGGAAGGAACCGATGGGGCAGGTTGTTTGGTCATGTGACCATTCCAGAGCGGTTTTTCAGTTTGGTCAGGCACATGGAAGTGTGCTGCGGACTGTGATATCAGTCACTTTGCCGCTGCTGTTGGATTTTAGCTGGAGGGGCCTAAAGTTGTCATTGTCAAATGGACATTAAACTGCAAGCATACCAATTAAAAACATCACATATGAACGTGGGGAGGTAATATAAGGGATATAGCCTGCATGTTTTAATGAAACAAATAGCTTGGGGCTTTCTCTCTACCCCTGGGATGCTTTCATGACAATGACTTTATAGGCACGTTAGTATTAAATGCTATTGCTTTTGACCTTTGATACGTTTGAAATGGGGCAGGAAATGATTCTGTTCGTACCAGATATTAAACAGATATCTGCTAACTCCCTAGTACAAATTCCAGGTCATTTTCTATTGATCCCCATGTGTGAATGGAGCAGACGGAATTCACCTTGTGTTAACTTGCGTGTTGTTGATGTTTCTATCATGCGACTGGCACAAAAACAGAAGCATACAAATATGAGGGCGAAAAGGTAGGATCATTTACACAAAGAGGACCCCAACGTATATGGAGAGGTGGCGTGAATCGGGTGCTTCTGCCAGTAGTACTGTAAACAAAACACCGCGATTTCCGCGGCATGGTTTTTGCCTCACGCCCCGGTTCCTGCATGCTCTAGCCAAGCGCGATCCCTCCTCTATACCAACCGGAGTATTTCCAGTAGGTGTGAACGTGTCTGACACGGACAACCTCCGCTTGTGTGCCACATGTGAGTCTGTGAGAATGACCCATATTTACTGATCTCCGGGTTTTTTGAGTTGTTACATAGATACTTGCATAGATCTGTCTTGCGACCCTGACCGGGATAAGCCGTTACAAGATGAATGGATGTGAATAAATGATTAAAATCTGAATAAAATTAAATCCCCATTAGAGTCAAATCTTTAACTTTGTATAAATGGGTGTATTCTGTTAATTTTAAGAAGTCACAGTTAATTTTTAACTTCCCTAATTATGCAATAAAATGCCCAGGTGTATGCAGAATGGAACTTGAGTGCAACATAATTTGGTTGTACAGTGGGATCCCAGTATCGGGGAAAGAATAGGAAAATTCCAGAAATAAATTCCTCGTAAGTTTTGAACCGCTTTCCAAGTGAGTACAGGCCGTGACATGGTGAGATCCGCCAGCCCAGTGACTCTCTTCCTTTTGTTCCCCTACCCACACTTCCCAGCAGGACTCTTATCCAGTCTGTCTCTCGCTTTCTCGCTGATTTCGTTCGCTGTCATGTTATCACAGTGTCTGTGTTATAAAACCTATAAACAGCATGATTTTCATTGCTCTCTCATCCTTTGATGCACATTTTTTCATTGCTGTATTGTCTGTTGTGAATTAGGCTAAAATGTCAGAACCCCTTTTCATTCCAGAGGCAGTACTGTCCAGTACTATATAATAATGTATGTTGTACTTTATTATTACTGTATTTAAGGTTGGTAATCTGATACTATGAATAATTTATTAATAAAACTTTGCCATATGTATGTACACGGAAATCAGGTTATATGTGGGGTCCACTGATGGTTCTCTTTCATCTCCGCTATCCATGGTAGGTCTTGGAACATGTCACCCATGGATACGGGGGGACTGCTGTATCCCAATTTAGTTTTCACGTATGATTTTGATCACAACACAGTTCCTCAGGTTCGAGTGTCTTTTAAAATGTAGTTCTAGACGGCAGTCCTGTTTTAGTTGGCAAAACTGTTCTGATATTTTTAGATCGTCCAATAACTTCTGTATGTGTCTCTGCCCTT